GGGGGGGGTTGTCGGAAATTTAGGTGGTTTTGGGCCCCCACTGGAAAAAGTGAATTTCCGCCACTAAAATCCACGGCAGCAAAAGATATATTTTAAAAAGCTTTATTAAAACATGGTTCAGTATTTCCCTAATAACAGTTCTTGTTTAATACATGGTTGGTCTCAGTGCTGTAAAAGCTACTCATTTTTTGGAACTAGTTACAGTTACAGTTACAGTTACAGTTACAGTTACAGTTACAGTTCCCAAAAAAGGAACTAGTTACTGGTAAAAGTTACACTTAAAAAAATGTAACTAGTTGCCGTTACAAAATTACTTCAATATTTTTGTAGCTAGTTACAAGTTACTACAAGTAAGAAAAACCCAGTTTTTTTCAACTTAATGATTAGTGGTCAGCAGATTGACGTTAATTATTTGTAAACGTTATGCAACCTTACCACTAATGGATCTCTCAGCTGTGTTAAGCACTAAAGCATGCGTTGTCGTAGAAAACCGTGAGGAGAATTCGAGAACTGAGAGGTGAATTGTAAGTTTTAACCGCAAGAATGTAACGAAAAAAGAAACGTTGGCTATAAAAGTAACGCGTATATCGTTTCATTTTTGGCTAAAATGTAACTCGTTACAGTTACAGTTACCTTATTTTTAAAGGTAACTAGTTACCGTTACAGTAACTCAAAAAGTAACGATTACTTGTAATTTCGTTACTTGTAACGAAGTTACTTATAGCACTGGTTGGTCTACTATTTACACTATTTACATACAGTTCATTTGATTTTTGTTTCATGTCCTTTCTAAGTGCCCTTTTTTTCACTTCCTTTTCTCTGATCTTATATATCCGGGCTGATATGAAACTGTGCGACTCTGCAGATTTCATATTCTGCAGTAATACTTGAAGTTCCTCGTTTTGTGGGCTAGACTTTCCTTTGTTCCTTTTGAACAGTTGTGAAACAACATACCCACCAACATACCCACCAACATAGGAAACATTGATTTTGATAGCTTGTTCAGCAGCAGGGCTAGATTCTCCTTTAATTCTCCTATAACATGTTATAAAAGCCAACTAAATGATCTGGAATGTGAATCATAATTAGGTTTGCTACTATGCATGAAGTCTCCACAGTTCAACAATTCGCATGATCTCGGTATTAAGCCATAGAAATCCTCGAGCAGCTTGTCTTGATTTTTCTTGGTAATAAATGTCTTATACAATGGCAATATAGCTTTGAACAAAGCTTTACCCGCTGATACCGTTTTTAAGCTAGTGTTTATTTCATCGCCATATATATTTTCTTGCATTATATTGTTTTTTATTGTTTCCACAATCGAAGCCGTTGTAGCTTGACAAAGACCTGTGTTTACACGTGTACCCGAATCAACACTTTCGCCTCTATGTTTTGAGTCGCTATGTCTCGTTAGTCCACCTTTTGATTTACATATTTTATCACATTTCGTGTAAGGAAATTCTTTCTGACCTTCGATTTCAACCAAAGCATCAATAAACTCTTGATCTACTTCTGTAACGTCAGCCTCAGTAAGATCACGATTGGCGAAATCGACAGAAATATTCATATACGATATAAATCACCAACATCGGAAATCTCACCCTAGCTGTCACACTGTAAGCGACGTTCCTCGGCCTCATCCGCTAATTTTTCTTCTAAATGTTGGCTAACTTCAAGAATAATAACATTCATTTCATGCTCCATCAGCCTAGACCTAGGCCTTCTATTTTTATTGATATTTTTTTAATATTCAGCGCTTTTTCACATGAAAAGACTGGGACTAGGTGATTTGGGGGCGGGGCGGAGGAAGGATACAAGCATGACGCAAGCGAAAAAATAGAAGGCCTAGTGGATTTCCCAACAACAAGGCCAAAACTGCCCTGAAACTGCCCTGATTGCGAAATTCCCAATTGTTGCGTTCTCAAACAGAATTATTTGCGACTTAACAGCGAATTTAAACCGATACAGGTAAAATAAACTCATTTATAGTATAACTTACTATTTTTATTTGTATACACGTCTAGAAAATCGGGGTTTTTATCATAAAGTTTGAAGCA